GATGTCTGGCTCTAGGTGAGTGATCACACCATCGTGGTTATCTGGGTCATGAAGATCTTTTTTCTATAATTCTGTGTATTCTTGCCACCTCTTCTTAATATCTTCTGTTTCTGTTAGGTCCATACCATTTCTGTCCTTTATTGTGCCCATCTTTGCATGAAATATTCCCTTGGTATCTCTAATTTTCTTGAAGAGATCTCTAGTCTTTCCCATTCTGTTGTTTTCCTCTGTTTCTTTGTATTGATTGCTGAGGAAGGCTTTCTTATCTCTCCTGGCTATTCTTTGGAACTCTGCATTCAGATGGGAATATCTTTCCTTTTCTCCTTTGCTTTTCACTTCTCTTCTTTTCACAGCTATTTGTAAGGCCTCCTCTGACAACCATTTTGCTTTTTTGCATTTCTTTTCCGTGGGGATGGTCTTAATCCCTGTCTCCTGTACAATGTCACGGACCTCCATCCATAGTTCATCAGGCACTCTGTCTGTCAGATCTAGTCCCTTAAATCTATTTCTCACTTCCACTGTATAATCATAAGGGATTTGATTTAGGTCTTACCTGAATGGTCAGTGGTTTTCCCTACTTTCTTCAATTTAAGTCTGAATTTGGCAATAAGGAGTTCGTGATCTGAGCCACAGTCAGTTCCCATTCTTGTTTTTGCTGACTGTATAGAACTTCTCCATCTTTGGCTGCAAAGAATATAATCAGTTTGAATTTGGTGTTGACCATCAAATGTGTTAGGAAACAAAATGTTATTCAGAGAGACCATATATTTCTGTGTAGGAGACTGAGGAACTGAGTGTATTAACTGGAACAAGTGATAGAGAAACTAACTCATACTAGTCTTGGAGACGGGAGGGTATTTATTGGCTTATGTTGAAATGTCCAGTGGTCATTTCTGTCTTCAGGTACAGCTGGATTTAAGAACTCAACCAATATCTTCATAACTGTGGCTTTTTCTAGTACTTTTTCTTGGATTGACTTCATTCTCAAGCTCCACAAGGTGTCCCCAGCTTCTACCAGCTTTGCTGCTAGTAGTCCCAGGAGAAAGAAGGAAATTCTATCCACACTTTCCAGTAGAAGTCTTGGAATTCATCTCATTGGTCTGGCTTGGATCACTCGTCAGTCCCTGAGCCAGTTATGGGCTCTGGAGGAGGGAATATGCAGATAATCCAGAGCTGGGATACCCCAAAGAAAAAAAGGTTGATGCTCTTTCCAGGAGAAAAGGGAATGGGAGCTAACTGAGTCAGGAGGAGATGTCTAGGATCTTAGGGTTCAGATGATCTGAGGAGGTGGTGTTGGGCGCTCTGCTGGGTGCTGAGGATGTCAGCAAATAGGAAACAAAAATCCAGGCATTTGTGGGCTGTGCCACGAAGAGGAGATTCATAGAATACATAAATAAATCCGATTGTATATTAGATGAGGACTGGTGCTATGGAGGGAAAAAAACCCCAAACCAGAGCAGTGGGTGGGGGTGGACTACATTTTTAAATAGGGTGGTCGGAGGCAGCCTCACTGAAAAGTTGATGTGTGAGCAAGTACTTGAAGTACATGAGAGATGAACCACATGCTGGCAATGTGGGGCCAGTTAGGACCAAGGAACAGCCAGTGCAAAGGCCCTGGGGTAGGAGCAGTCCTGGCAGGTTTGGAGAATTGAGGCCAGGGTGGCTGCAGGTGTTGTGGAGTGGTGGTGAGTGGGGATGGGGACATGGCTAGAAACCTGGTGGGCTGTGTAGGCCGTTGAAATGACTTGGGCTTTGACCCGGAGGACATGAGGAGCCACTGAGGTGTTAGGTTGAGGAAGTGCAAGTTCTGATTTAGGTTTTAATGTGCTTCTTCTTACTGCTGTGTTGAGACTAGATTGTCGGGCAAGGGTGGAGCAAGGGGCCCAGTTGTGAGTCCAGTGCAAACTTTCAGGTGAAAAATGAGGGTGGCAGGGACCTGGGGAGGCAGTGGGGATGGGGGGAAGTGATCCAGGACAGATGGGTGCTTTAGGCTCTCAGAATAGACATCAATTACACACCCCTTGGGCCTCAGCTTGTCCTCATGCCCAGCTTGCCTTCAGGGAGTGAGCGTGTCAGTCAGCCAGAGAGGCTGGTGGCTGCGTCTGTTTCTCCTGACGGTTCTGTTCTCATGGCGAATTGACACATTGACCTTCTGGTTTCCCTCGCCAGCCTCCTGCAAGTCTCTTTTGCCTGAGTCAGCATCCCTGGGCGAGACATGTTCCAAGAGGCTGATGAGCCCGCAAGCCTGGCCAGATCCAGACATTAACTCTGTGAGAATTTGGGGCAGTCATTCTGTCAGCCTCTGTGGTAGCAGCCCAATCCCATACCTCAGCCAGCAGGACTGAGGTATGGTGTAGATGCCTGCTGTCCTTGCTGTGTCCTAGGAATTAGCTGGGCTAGGGGTTGAGAATAACGGTGAGGAACCCTCAGCAAATAAGGGTTTTCTTTGGGCCTGACTGTTTTAGGTTCTTCAGTGATACTCAGTCACAGCATCTTTGTAAGAGCTCTATGAGGCAGGGTCTATGATTATCCCCACTTCACAGATGAGGAGGTTGAGGCAGAAGGAAGTAAAGCAGCTCGTCCACTTCCCCAAGGTAATGAGTGGCAGCGCTGGGGCTTAAATTGATTTCTCGCTGAGCAGTCAGAGCACCTGCTTTATTTCTCTTACACTTGGTTTATGGGGGAAATTCTCTCTATGGAAACTACAAGTGTGTGTAGCTTTGACCCAGCAACTCACCTCTGGGAATTCATCCCAGCAACCCAAGTGACCGTCCAGAGGGGACCAGTTAAACAGAAGATGACACGTCTGTGCACCGCAGCACTGGGAGCCTCTGAGGAGTGAAGCCGGGCTGTGTTCCGGTGTGGGAAGTACCCAGGTTATGTCTTTGGGTGAAAAACTCAAGATGCAGAACAGCTAAGGGAGTATGTTCCTTTTTGTGTAAGAGGAGGAAAAGTTAGAACACGTGCTTGTTGTCACTTGTGTTTGCCTGAAGAAACATTAGAAGGATACTCAAGAAACTAGTAAAAGTGTCTTCCCCCCAACCCCCCCCAAACAAAGGTGGTCCAGGCAGTAAGCTGAATGGAAGTGCTAAGACAGAAGCTTCGTTTGCTACCTCCTATAGCCTTTTTGAGTTTGGAACCGTGGGCATATTTCAGCTATGCAAAGGGTTCCCGGGGGCACCCTTGTCTGGATCTGTTGTGAATAGCTTTCCTCAGGCCTGCGAGGCGGCCTGCGTGTGCAGGGGCCGGAGGACACTGTTACGCTTTGGGGCTAGAGAGCAGCTTTCACCTTTTACAAAGGGGTTGGGACTGGCCTTGCTTGAGTGGCTGCTCGGAGTGCTGAGGTCCACTGTGCATGTGTCACTGCTACCCTCGGATCCACAGGAACATGTGCTAACTGTTGGGGGGCAGGTGGTTTGTGGTGGCAGACGAGGCTGATGGAGCGCGGGAGCATCTAGCTGGGCAGGGATGCGGGACACCGCCCTGGGCGTCTGCAGTGCGCAGATGTGGCGGCGGTGCTTTCGCTGGGACTTCCCTGGAGGCCGTGAGTGCCAAGCTGGGACCTGGGCTCTGGCGTCTCTCTGCCTGCATTCCTTGCCTCTCCTCCAGGGTGGTGTGAACCCGAGCCTTGGTCTCTTCACTTGTGGAATGGGAAATGTAACTTCCCATTGTGAAGTTCCCACAGCTTCACTTGTGGAACATAGACCTTGCCTCTGGGAACTTCTGGGGAGAATTTTAATTGGGAGAATGTGCAGGAAACACATGATGTCTGTCTCCCTCTAGGAACTGGCAGGGTCAGTGTCAAAGTAAGGTGCTCAGAAAATGTTAACTGTTGTCACTATTGTTGACATTGACCTCTAACTGTTGTTGACAAGAGATCAAAATATGCTTGTGTGGAGTCTGTCCTCAGAGGTTCTAATGTAAATGGTCTGGGGCACAGGTTGACCATTGGAAGTATTCTTAAAGCTCTCTAGGTATGTAACTTATGATGAGAACCACAGCCCCAAACCATGGATTCAATTTAGAAGTTCCCAGGAAGCCCCAGGGATTGAGCCCCGATTCTCAAAGCTACCTGCCTTTGACCTCCTGGCAGGAAGCGTTTGGTTACCTGCAGTCACAGCCTCTCCTGATGCCAGGCAGCCACACCTGATGCCAAGAGAGGCNTGAGAAATAACACCTGATCCTAGATTCCTCTCCTTTCTTGATTCACTTTCTTATAAATCAAGGACACTAAAATACAAGAAATCAGTAACAACAGTGACAACAGTTAATATTTTCTGAGCACCTTACTTTGACACTGACCCTGCCAGTTCCTAGAGGGAGACAGACATCATGTGTTTCCTGCACATTCTCCCAATTAAAATTCTCCCCAGAAGTTCCCAGAGGCAAGGTCTATGTTCCACAAGTGCCTTAGGGCCTTCCCTGGTGACTCAGTGGTAAAGAATCCGCCTGCAGTGCAGAAGATTTGGGTTCGATCCCTGGGTTGGGAAGACTCCCTGGAGAAGGAAATGGCAACCCACTCCAGTATTCTTATCTGGAGAATTCCATGGACAGAGGAGCTACAGTCCATGGAGTTGCAAAGAGTTGGACACAACCAGATGGCTAACACTTTCACTCTCAGCCTATCAGATATGCCTGCTAGTGTTGGAGAGTCTCCTGTGGAGACCTTGGAGAAGGTGGCTCGCCTCGGGGATGGGTACTGGCCGCTGCAGTCCTGGAAGGTGCTCCTTGGCGTAAGCCCTCTTGGGGGTCGCCATTGACCCCATCACAGAGCCTGTAGATCCCAGGCTCTGCTTGTTTCTTTTTGAAGTATGACTGACCTGTGTTAGTTCCTGTTATATAACACAGTGATTTCAAAATGATCACCACAGTAAGTCATTAGTATTTGTCATGATATAAAGGTAATACGTAGTTATTGACTATATTCCCTGTAACTACATTTCATGCCCACGACTCATTTATCTCTCAGTGTTTCTCTCCTTCCCCTCCTCCCTGGCAACCACATGTTTGTTCTTTGTGTCTGTTACTCTCTGTTATGTTTTTTTGTTTGTTTGTTTTTAGATTTCACACGTAAGTGAAATCATATAAGTGAAAGACAGTATTTGTCTTTCTCTGTCTGACTTATTTTGCCTGGCGAAAGTGAAGGGTCACTTTTCTGCCTCTTCACAGACAGTCTGAGTTCCCTGTTTTAATTAAAATCAGAAAGAATCATGGCTTAAAAGTTTGGGCCACCAGATGGCAGCACACTCCCACGAGTTGAAGCTCATCCTGGCGACGTCTCCATCTCTGTCCCTAATTAAGAAATGTTAATTTAGTGTTTGCACCTGAAGGCATGATGCTGACACCATATGTCCTTTTCTCCCCAGGGAAGCTGGTGTACGAGCGTATCTTTTCCATGTGTGTGGATAACCGCAGCGTCTTACCAGGTAACATCATAGCTGTTCCAGTGGTTTTCATTCTGTCCTCAAGTCAGGGTTAGGAGGTTTATATCAAGTCAGGATTTATTGAGACCTGAAGTTTTTGTGTGTTAAAAGTTAAACACTGTTACAGTTTTCTGATCATCCCAGTCTTTGAAAAGAAGATTTTTTCAACTGCCCAGCTAGGGATTTTAGCAAGTAATTTGAATCTGCAAGAATGAAAAGGTCCGTGATTAGATTCAGCTGAACTTTAATACCAACTTAAATTTCTCTGCTGCTTGACATTTTAATATTTTCCCTATATATCTTTTCCTGAGAAGAAAATTGCTTTGTAGAGCTAATTTTATATTAAAGAACAATGTCAAATAAATCAATAATAACAGATGCTTTGAATCTACAGTATATGCCCAAGTGATGTTTGCATTAAATTTATTGCTGCTCAGTTTTGAACTCTCAGGAGGTTATAATGGGACAATGAGACCACAAATTTATTTTGTCACATAAATGAAAGATGACAATGAGGCTAGCAGTATGGAACTCTAAGCAACAGCATCTATTTTCTCTTCCTCCTCCTTCTGAGTTCCTAGCACTGCTGGGAGGAAGTGCGCTTATCTCTTCAAGTTAGAACAACAGGCTGTCTTCACTTTCATCCCACCTCCTCCTGCTCCTGCTTCCCTGGAGGATGAAGAGATGGTATCACACAGACCTGTAATTTGACTTTTCTTTTTGTCTGTTAATCTGTCTTGTCTTTCTGGTTTTCTTTTTCTTTTTTTTTTGTCTTTCTCTCTCTCTCCATCTCTTTGTCTTTTGCTGTTTCTTTTATTGTCTCTTTTTTTCTCTCTTCTCTTTCTGTTTTCTTCTTTTCCTTCCATCATCTGTATTGTTAAAACTAGTTAATATGCACATTTCTCAGAAAGCAAGACAGAACTCTACAGACCTTTAGGGCTAGAAAAGCTCTTTGGAATCGCCTTGTCTCATTTTAGGGGGGGCCCACCTGTGGGGAAGAGCCAGGAACTTGGCCCAGCCCTGCCACCAGCAAGTGAGAGCCTGGCTCTCAGTGCTGGACCTGCACCATCCAGTATGGTGGCCTCTTGGTCACATGAGGCTCTTGTGCACCAGAGATTGACCAGTCCAAACTGAGATATGCTGTATTAAAAAAAAATAAAAAGTTGGATTTCAGACGCTTAATGCAAATAAGAGACCATAAAGTATCTCACTAATTTTTAAGTTTACATGTTTGCATATTGAAATGATATTTATATGAATTAGATTAAATGAAGTATATTTAAAATTACACATTTTTGTTTTAGCTCTTTGAATGGGGCTCACATGGCATTTCCATTGGATAGCACTGCATTACACCCTCCCCTCCACCACATTCCCACCTGCCGTGGTTTTTAACAGCTCCTCACACATTCTAGGCTTCTGAGGACTGGGAGGCAGGGGCCAGCCTGATGGAAAGGCCTTCTCTGTCACCTTAAGGATTTGGCAAATCTGGTGCATTTGTTTTACACTTGCCAGTGTTTCTTCCATGTGCTGTATCAGCAGCAGTAAACTCTCCGCCCGCAGGCAGAATTAAACCCAGTTAGCTGTTTTCTTTGGCTACAAGAGTATTTTTTAAAATGCTATTTGGTATAGTTTCTGCTTCTTCCTATTGTTGTATACCTAACTGATTAGAAATGTTTAGATCACCTGCCTGGCCCTTAGGGAGATTTATGTTCCTACCTACCACAATAGTTTTCCTTCCTGACAGTTTTCACTAACTATACAAACAACATTTTAGGGCTAGTTAAGGAAAAACTGGGCTTCCCAGGTGGGTCTAGTGGTACAAACATGCCTGCCAATCCAGGGGATGTAAGTGATGCGGGTTCGATCCCTGGGTTGGGAAGATCCTCTGGCTGAGGGCATGGCAACCCACTCCAGTATTCTTGTCTGGAAAATCTCATGGACAGAGGGCCTGGTGGGTCCATAGGGTCCCAAAGAGTCCAACACCACTAAAGCAACTTAGTACGAATGCACGCAAGGAAGAACTACTAATAGCTTTCTCCCTACTTGAAGTATAAAACTATAAAAGTTCAAAATAAAAGGCTGTTTTCATATTCACTTTTAGTTCTTGTCTAAATGTGCTAATTAGCATGTTTATTACTAAATTCATGCCTCCCTAAATACTTGTTGTTTTTTAACCTTGAATTGGGCTTTTGTTTTCTTGAAAATAATTTCATTTCTCCCCTTTCAGTTAAAATCTTTATCTGCATGTATCTTCTGTTTCCTAGAACCTGAAAAGGAGAGGGCAAACTTTTCTCGAAAATGTCTTTAATCTTGGGGATGCCTGTTAACAATAATTATGAAGAAAACTTTTGAAATCTACTGTGCAGAATTCTGGCTAAAGAAATCATGTGTAGAGAGAAGTCTGGCGGCGTGTGCACTGGTCCTTCCCGTTTGAATCGAGCTCAGACTGTGGTCTGAGTGTTTGAGCCCTTTGCCTTTAGGAGCTTTAGCTGAAGTGGAGCTCCTTCCCGCTCAGAAAGGCACTGATGCCCTTTGGCTTCACAGGAAGTAGATATGGTGATTTCCCCCGCCGTTTCTTCATTCAGCATACGAGTGAGGGGAGCTTGTACTCTTCAATGGGAAAACAATTTCATTTCTGTCTTGGGATGAGTAACTTGGGGTTCTTGTGCTGTGGTTCTCCTCATTAGCTGTGGGCATTTCTGTCTTTGGTTTTCGCTGTGGCTGATACAGCCGCCTCTGCGTAAGGAGTGTCCTTAGCTGACCTGGCCTTTCAGGTCATCGTACTAAGATGCCATGGCACCCCTGTAAGCCCTGTTACGTAAAAAGACATCTCACTGCCAGGATCGAGACTTGGCAAATGGAAGAGAACCAAACTCACTGGTCTCCTCCCTTCTCCTAAAATATCCTCAGAAGTTCAGGGTTGAAAAAAGGAGCCCATAAAGGAAAATAAGTGGGAACTAGAAGAGAATATCTCAGCTCTTCTTTACACTGAAGCCTCTTCTGAATTGATTTCCAGATTCTAATTTCATTCTCCATGTAGCAGCCCAGGCGCTGAAGTATAATTGGTGTCATGTCATTCCTTTGCTCAGAGCTCTTCAGGGAGCTTCCGCCACACTTAGAAGAACTCCCAGACTCCTCGCCAAGGCTGCAGCCCCTCCTGACCTGGCTGCTTCTCCCCTTCCTCTCGCATCTCTTTGGCTCACTTTCTTGTTCTTTGACTAGACCCACTGGAATGTAAGCTTCGTGAGGGCAGGGTTTCCCTTATGTGCTGTGCTCTCTTATCTCCCTGGAGCCTAGAATACCACTTCTGGTTGTTTCCTGAGACGTTCATTGTAAGCAGGTGAAGTAACGAAATGTACTATTGAGCTTGCTATAACATTTTTTTCTTCCTGCTTTATTTATTTACTTTTTTCTATAAGATTGTAAAGTCGTGCATAACAGAATCCTTTTCCTAAATTATCTCTGTAACTGGAAGGAAAATCTAAAAGCCTTTGTATTGCATATGCGGATTATTGCATAGCTGGCTGTTGGTGTGTACACGCAGGGCAACTTGCTTTGGTGTGATGTCCCACTCTCCCTGGCAGCCCGATTCCGTGTCATCCCACCCTTTGCTATGCCTCCGTTCCCTCAACTGGAAAGCAGAAGTTTTTAGTAGATGACCTCAGAGACTTATTTTTGCTTTTGGGTCTCAAGTCACATGATTCAGTCACATTAAGGGAAATTAACCCCACCCCTCCTCTGTTTTCCACAAGCAAGATTGACAGATGAATTTAAGAATAGCCCTTATCTTTTCCTATCTAGGTCTCTTGGAACTTGAAAAAAGTTACTTTTAAGTACATGGATTCAGGCCAGGAAAGGAAAAATGGTAATTTCACTTCTCTTAGAAAATAGCAAGTGAATAATTCTCCAATGAATGAAGCATGCCAGAACATCCAAAAATAGATAAATCCTTGAGATTGCAGTTCTGAAATATCTGCAGTTGTGATTACTGACTGTTCTTTGCTAGTGAAGTACCTAGAATTTTATTTTTTGCTGATTCCATAGATATTTTGATGACTTTAATGGTGTACCACCAAGTAGCAGAAAGTAGAACCAGGGATGAAAAATGACTCATTGAGCAACATGATGAGGGCAACAGGCTAACATTCGTTTCTTATGTTCTGTAGTAATCAGTTTCTCCCTTTTTGGTTGAATCCTAAAAGTGTAAGGCACACCCCGATCCCAGGGGTGGGATCGGGCTCCAGTTTGTGCAGAAATCATTTAAATGTGAGAGCTCAACAGTAGCCTTCTTGGTGTTGAACAGTTTCTTGTTTGTTTTTGTTTTCATTTTTCCGTACTCTTTTCCATTTCTTACTAAGATGTATGTCATTGATTGGGCTTGGTCATCAGTGCCAGAAAACTCAAAATCTCAGTAAAGAGAATCACAGCTGGCAGCCAGCCTGTGGTGCCAGCCGTCCTGACTTCTGTCTTGCTCTTGTGGTTCAAGATGGTTTTGGAGGTTCCAGCCTTTGTATCTGCATTCTTGCCAGCAAGTGCCCCACCCCTTCTGCCGCACTGTAACTGTTTTCTGTCCCGGGACTCAGAGCAGCTGTGACAGATCCCAGGAATTAGGAAGGCTCATGGGTATTATTTTTGTTTTACAGATCACTTCTCTCCAGAGAATGTAAATGACACAGCCAAGGAAACATGCTTGAATTGGTTTTTCAAGATTGCTTCCATCAGGGAGCTCATTCCAAGATTGTATCCTTTTTTTCTGTCTGATGCTTTTAAAGATAGGCTGCAGGATTGCACTGCTAATAGAGGCCATGCGATGGGCTGCCCTGAGATTCCTGTTGAAAATGGGGTCCTGTTAGGGTCGCTCGCCTGGAAGCCCAGCGCCAGCCACACTGTCCAAGATGCCCTTGGACTCTGGCTGTCTCCAGTTCTCTGTTTTTAAACTTTGATTGTGGCGCTGTGTACCAGGCTTTTGTTTCCCTGAAGAACATTCCCATATTAATTTTCTCAATTAAAATGCTTTGGGGTTTTTTGTGTGTGTGTCTGTATGTTTTCCCTGGTCCCAAGACCTTGAAAGGAGCAGGGTCCAGCTTATCTGCACAAACACCAGTGTTGAAGGACAGACAGTTTGACTTATACACAAAAGGAATCTTAGTTCTCTTAAGTTTCATCCTTTTCCCATAAAACCTCAGTTGGGAGTGCTCAAAACCCAGTTTAAATTTCAGCACGTAATCATAAATCAGCATATAATGTTTTCCAAATTTTATTTTAAATAAGAATAAAACCTTGAAAACCAAATGTAGAAACCACAAGCCACTCGCTGATTTCATTCTTTGGATTGTCGAGAGCTGTTGTGGCCCCTCTCCTGAAGACACACCTAGTTCTCTCCATGAACAGTTAGGCTTTTCCCCGTAGGGAACAGGCCGTCTGGAAAATGTCTTCCTTAACAGAATGTTTTTGTAGCTACGTGGAAGCTTCCATCCTGAAGTGTAACAAGTTCCTCTCCAAAACGTAAGGCTCTTCTTAAATGTCCAGAGCCATACATTTCCAAAAAATTTCTGTCTCTCACAGCCCTTGCGAATGGCGCTGCAATAGTAGCTATCATTCTGTGATGCTTAGTGTGTAGCTGATCTGGTGTTAAGCACCTTCCATCCATTTTCTCATTTAATCCAAATGAAGTAGAGATCACTTTTTAATCTCCATTTTATGGAGAATAAAACTCAAGGTGGGAGAGGTTGGTTGATTCGCTCATGGAAGATAACTGGATTTGACATCCTAGCTCTGCTGTTACTGGCTGTGTGGTCCAGAGAAAGTTACTTAGCATCTCTGACCCCTGGTCGTCTCGGTGGACAAGCGCTGTGAAGGGGTCTGTGTGCGTTCATCGGGCTGCAGACACCACACTCGGAGCGGCACCCATGGGCCCTCTCTCAGTGTCTGTGGCTGCCATCCAAGATGATGAAGAGGTCAGAGATGTCAGAACGAAAGGCCCTTTCCCTGAGCCCCCCACTACTCTGGGCCACCTCGGACCTTGTTTTGAGAGTAGTTTTGCGGAACCAGGAGAAACCAGATCTGCTTTCTGAGTGGCGTTGGCCACCATCTAGATAACTCTCCAGAGCCACGGGCTGTCTTGTGCTCCGAGTTGGATTTAAAATGTGTACCAAGTGTGTTTGATTGAGATCTGGGGATGCCTGGGGGAGCTTGGGGGGGGGCACGTGGTGCTGAAGAAATGGTTATTTTCGTTCACCAGTTGGGGGAGAATAAGGCTTGAGGCAGAGGGAAGTCCCATATGGCCAGAGGAATATTTAAGTCACATTTCACTTTGAGGGGGATGCTGGGGTCAGGTGTTGAGAGTGGGCAGAGCACAGGGCAATAAATCTATGCCAAAGGGATATAGATAACAGCTGAGATATGGAGAAGGGCGAGGAGTGACCTAGTGACCTGCCGATGGATGATAACTGGGGGTGGGACAAAAATTGTTAAATTAGTAAAAGTGACCTCAAACAGGAAAAAAGTGAAGATTAGACTCCAGCGCTGCAAAGATGGTAGAGACGAAAGAAACCATTCAAAAAATGAATTATGGCAAGGGAGAAAGACTTGGTACATGGCCTTAGAAAACGTCAACTTTGACCTTGGTTTGTTTCTGAAACCTGATTTTGCCCCCCTACATTTAGGAAGTGTAAACGTAGGCTTTTATTTTTATTCAGAAAGTGAAGGAACAGAGAGTTCTCCTGTGGGGTGTAAATGCTGCTGTCTTTCCATCTCTCGCAGGGGGATTTCAGAGTGTCTGCCGAGGCTGACGTGCATGGTCCGGGGGATCGGGGACCCGCTGGTGTCGGTGTACGCCAGGGCCTACCTGTGCAGGGTGAGCTGATCGCGTCCTGCCTCCTCGCACGCTCACGTTTCTCCCTCCCTGCCACCCACGAGTCACTGGACGAAGGACTTTATTAGCCACTAATTTTAGAGCATAGCTCGTCCACAGAAAGCAGGGCTGTAGGATTTCTGTTTAAAATTAATTTCGAAGTAGACCCACTTACCCGTAACTCTTAATTAGGGTCATCGTCTCACAAATGAACTGGGTTTCAGAACTAATTGTTTCTCCCTTCTTGCTGGGAAGGAGGCTCCCAAGGCCTTTCGGCTGATAGGTTACTTCACATTGACTCACAATGTTGCTTTCCCTTTGTCTTTGAATTTTGATTGTTTTATCAGATTTGTGGTCTCTGTATTAAAAGAGCTGGCTCAGAGCGCGAGTTGATGAGGGCTGTCTGGCAGGGAGAGGCACTCCTGGCGATGGCAGGCATCAGGGTCTGTGTCACTTGGCCTTGGAGGGCTGCTCTGATGGGTTCAGATTGTAGATCACTCAGCCTTTCTCTCCTCAAAGCACCGTGAAGCTCCTGCTTAAAACTATTAACTTTTCGTTTATGAAAAATGCACCCTGTGGAGAATTTACAGTCATTTTTCTTCAACTCCCATGGGGTCGCCGCCTCTGTCAGCTTTTGTGGGAGCCCACCTTCCTGGTTCCTTTGGCATCTTTTACCTTTAGAGGAGTTAGTTCCCATATTCCGTAGGGTCCTGGTGAACCCCAGACTTCCTGAAGACAAAGCTACTGTTAGAGACCTGCCCCTTCCCTAGTGTGAAAGTGAAAGTCATTCAGTCATGTCCGACTCTTTGCGACCCCATGGACTGTACAGGCCATGGTGTTGTCCAGGCCAGAATACTGGAGTGGGTAGCCTTTCCCTTCGCCAGGGGATCTTCCTAATCCAGGGATCAAACCTAGGTTTCCTGCATTGCAGGCGGATTCTTTACCACCTGAGCCACGCAGGAAAGCCCAAGAATACTGGAGTGGGTTGCCTATCCCTTCTCCAGGGGATCTTCCTGATCTAGGAATTGAAGCGGGGTCTCCTGCATTGCAGGTGGATTCTTTACCAGCTGAGCTACTAGTGGTCATCAATACTATGAAATTAGAAGGTGAGGACTGTAGCCTTTGATCAGCTTCTTTTACGTGACATCTAGCATGTGACAGAAGCCCTGTGGTCTCCAGTGTCTCAGAGAAATCAGTCATTTCCCTCAGAGTGAGAAGCAGATATCCTTGGGGAGAATACTTTTTATAGGTCCATTCCCTAATAAGGGAGAAAAGAAAAAAGAAACAGCTTTCCAATTAAGGGTACCTGCTCCCTTGTAGTAACTGAGGCCAAAATATTTATGCATTGCCATCTGCTTGAGACTGGCATATATTTTTCATACAAGAATATCAGATATATTTTCTCCAGCTTCAACTCTGTAGTATCATGAAGTTGGAATGCTCCTTCCTTGTCAGAGTCTGCTGAGGGCCTGTTGTGTGCACAGTTGGACTGGATCCTGTGGGGTGGGGTGGGGGGGATGTAAAGATAGCCTTGCTTGTGTATTTGTGCCCTGCTGCTTTTCCCCTTGTAGCATACATCACATTCTTTGAATTGACCTTCACGTCAGTAATAAAGACCTAGAAACGTAGTGTGTCTAATGACACACACTTATTATATAGAAATCAGAAAGTGAGGGGAATATTCATTCCCTGCAAACCTGCTCAGTTTTGAAGTTTGAAGGCAGGTACACAAGCTAGTGAAAGATGATATTTGTTGCATATAAAGTGCCTCCCCTGGTGGCTCAGATGGTAAATAATCAGCCTGCAATGCAGGAGAAACTGGGTTTGATCCCTGGGTTGAGAAGATCCCCAGAAGGGAATGGCAACCCACTCCAGTGTTCTTGCCTGGAGAATCCCATGGACAGAGGAGCCTGGTGGGCTACAGTCCATGGGATCGCAAGAGAGTTGGACACGGCTGAACTACTAACACTTTTCGTTCACTTTCACTTTCAAAGTGCCTTTGCATGGCAGATGGAGCTCTAAAACTCAGTGGCAATGAAGAGAGATTACAGACACACCCCAGGAAAGCTGGGTGAGAGGCACTGTATCTGAAATCAATTGTGCCAATTCAGGCAGAGCACCCTTTCCCCTGGTTGGGTAGCTACTGAAAATCTTTTGATATAAAAAGAATAAGAGACAGTGTGCATTATTAGTAAGGATTCTTTCAATTCCAAGTGGCACAACCCCAGTTCATAGTGCTCTGAAGCAAAGGTTGGGGATTTGTTGGCGCTCGCATCTGAAGAGCCCGGGGTAGTCCCGGCATGGCAGACCCAGGGACCCCGAACCCAGACACCCCCAGGGGTTGTCTGCGGCCTCGTGGCTCAGCTCTGCTCTCCCCTAGGTGACTTCAGCTCACAGCTTTCTCTTTCCCTGTGGTGGAAAGGCTTCCATCGTCTCTACTCAGGAACCCCAGCGACAAGATTGTCTTTTCCTCGGTGGTTCTAGCCAGACTTTCCAGGCAGAATCTCGCGGAACCACCTTGGGTCCTTAGCCCATAGATATAGCAGTCACTGTGACCGTGGGATGGGAAATGCCTGCTGACTGAGCCTGGGTCATGCGCCCACCCTGGCAACCTTGGGTTGGCTGGGTCCAGCTGCCACAAACCTCTTTGTCTGAGAGGTAAGTTTGAGTCCTCAAAGACAAGTCTGCTTTGCTGATTTCAGAAACAGAGAGAATGAGTGCCAGGCAGGCAGAAACAGCAGATGGATATTGTGAGTAACTACCCTTGCTACTCTAGGTAGAAATTTTTTCGACCTGAGCAGATCTCTAAGTTGCTCATTTGGTTTTATGGAAAGAGATAAACAAAACACAAAGGCAGTGAGTAGGCCGGGCGTGGGGGGTGCTCAGAGCTGTTTATTAAAGGAAAGTATGATTAACTCCTCTTCTAAGTCACAACCCCTTCAGTTCATCTCCACTGCTTGTCCACTGGGCCTTTTCTTTGCTGTCGCCTAACAGGTAATTATTGCTTTTTCTACGAAATGATTAGTAGAAGGAGACAATAGAGTCAGAACGCAGTAAAAGTGGATCTGACGTTTGTTATTAGTATTTTTTTAAAATCCCTGCACTTGTCCTTGGAAGCATCTCCAACAGCTATAGAGAGCTGCCCCTGGAATTTACCGCCCCAGTAGATCTTGCATAATTTTCCTCAAAGGAATTCCTTACAGACATCTAAAAAACACTGTTATCGTTAATCTTCATGACCTCTGGGTATCTGGGGGGAGGTGAGTGGTAGAAATCTGTCTTCCTTGGAAGAAACCAGGTCCCAGAAAGCAGCTCCTCTTACAAAGTTGTTTTTGTGCTAAAGCAGCTGTGTGGAATTGAGGTGTATTTGAGGAACTCAGTTTAAGGAACCTCACGATGCTTTGTTTTAAGTTCATGTAGTCCCTGCCATATTTGCGACCTTTACTTTTCCATTCGACTGTAGAGCCCTGGCCACCTTCTCTGTGATTTAGCAAATGTTTTTCAAATGAAAATATTACATATCTTTTTAAAACAATGAGTGAAGGAGTCGATGGATTATAGCTTTGTTAGGCTTCATGCTTGTGTAATAAAAAATTTGCTTAAAATACATCAGAATTTATGTCTGTTTCCCTGACTGCCCAGCAAAGAATGAATCTGTATATTTTAACAATGCAACAGTGAAGTCCCAGCTGACTCTCTTACATACCAGAATCTTTTTGCTTCATTTAATAAGTACACCCACATGTGTGTTTATCATTTTTTAGAGAGGAAAAGAATGTCGTATGCACCGTCTTGAGAGTACATTTCTCCTTAGTGCTGTATTGATTTGTTCCCTTGGTCATCTGTTCAGAAATACTTTCATTACCTTTGGGAAATTGCGAAGATGATTACTGCAAATGTTGCCCTTGTTTTTAATTAAAAATAGCTCTTGTGGTTTTTCTTATAAAAGCAAGATATGCTTGTTGAATAAGAAAATAAACAAAAAGAATGAAAGTTAACTTTCTGTACCTCTTTATGCTTATATCTGCCTATATGTATATTTTTAATTTACAAAAATGCATCACACTGTATATGTTATTTGCAACCTGGTTTTCCACCATCAAGTTTACTTCCTTTTGTTTGGCTACAGGTGGGCATGGAAGTGGCTCCACATCTCAAAGAAAGCCTAAATAAGAACTTTTTTGACTTCCTCCTCACATTCAAACAGGTAAGAGAACACTATCAGAAAAACCAATTGATGTGATAGTTACATGATCACAGATTCATAAAACCCAGTTGGTTTTCCAAGTCGAGATTGCCTTAAAGCTCTTTAGATGTGTAAACCCTAGAAAATCGCACTCGCATCTGTTACAGACAATTAAAATGTGTTGATTGTACTGAACAAGCAGAGAGCATTGATATGCATGTGTTAATAAGAAACGTCTCCGGTTGATCAAACTTTCTTCTTAGCATCTGCTGGGTCCATTTTTATCAGGTTACTTCTCGTCAGAGCACACATTCCCAGAACAGCTCAGCCTGGTGACCTGGGAACCTGTGTGTGTTTTTTTCTAGTTTAAAAAAACCTGAGAAACCAGGCTGTTTCTCTTGGGGCCAGACATGTTCTTTGTTATGTGACTTCCCCTCCTCTTCTGAGTGTTTGTTTGGTCTCCTGTAGATTCACGGGGACACGGTCCAGAACCAGCTGGTGCTCCAAGGCGTGGAGCTTCCGTCCTACCTACCCCTGTATTCGCCTGCCATGGACTGGGTCTTCCAGTGTGTTTCCTACCGCGCCCCTGAGGTAACTGCCCGGTGGCTTCAATGTGAAGCTCACTCCTATCTTCTGTGTCGTAAGGACCCTCACACCTGAGTGCCCAGTAACGTCGTCGTCAGGGCCCTTTCACGGTGATTCACTGTTGGGTCTGGTTCTGTGCTCAGGCCTTGTCCTGCACTGTGTGTATCCTAAGTGGTGGTTTGGCCTGCTGTTCTCGTGTGAGCCCTGGATTCAGGGTGCCCGCGTCTGAACTCAGCTCTGT